ATCGCATTTGAATAGGTCAGGGACGCGATGAGCTAAGACGCGTAAATTGAACATCCTTCTCGGTGTTGCCTATATGTATACGTTCGTTACATCAACGCAAATGACATATCCGAACGATCACGCATGTGAGATACGTATACTGCAGGGGTTAATAATGTCAAATTTTGTCATTATTAACCCCTGGTATACTGGGATGTGTAACATATACAAAACTCGAAGAATGACCGTTTTATTGTCATCGCAGGCAAAGATGACCGCCACAAACGTATCTTAGCTGTTTCATCAGCACATAGGTGGCCCTCTCCAGCAATAAATTCTAGATAACCCGATGGGATGAGAGGCCGCTAAACGAATAAAACCTAGCAATAATGAAGGAATGATAGCGATAAACGCTAAATGAAGACCACTTTGCAAGATAAACCCAGAGAAGCATCACGATCCTTGAACGTGGTAAAAACGTGCGATAAAAATGTATTAATCATATTATAAATTATAATATACATAAATATATTTAAAAAAACATGCGGATTATGCGTGTAAAAATGTAAGATATTCGTTATTGGGGGGAGGGGGCGGTCGGATCCATGGGAACGTTTATAATTTTATGTAACCTGAGAGCCCCCCCCCTCCCCACTCCGGATGTATTCCCTGTCTTATTCTCTCAGAGAATAATAAGGCTAAGGTACGCGGGAGACATCAAAGGCGAGGATGTTATTACCGATACGCTATAACTTCGATTTGTATCGCGATGCTATACCACTGAGTGTCACGCTTTGTATACTACATAACGATGCTGTAATAGACCTACACAGTTTTTCATTGTTACTGTATTTTTTTACTCGGCCTACAAACCAAGCACCTTGTTCCTGTTAATATGACCGGCTTTTTGTTTTGCTCACAGACCATGCACTAATTGATACCCATGCAGTTGGTTTTTCCGGCTTTTTCCCCATTTTACCTACCACCCTAACCCTAACAACTTTCTTTTGTTACCACCCGTAGCTTTTACACCGCCCACAGATGATGCAGTGAATCCGGGTATATTTTTTTCTTGTTCGGCTAGATTTACCCTTCTGCCTAAGAACGAAGCAGCAATCGATGAGAGCTCGCAATCCACGCGGAATAGCAGGTGGAAATGCATTCAAGCACATTCGTTCGCAACTGCTGCTGAGAGAGCTCACAGCGAGATGTGCTGTCGAATGCGGAAGCAAAATCTAGACGCTATATATTATATATAGGGCCTACAGAATGCGCGGTAAAATTATATCTTATTACTGCTGCTGCTGCTGCTGCTGCTGCTGCTGCTGCTGCTGCTGCTGCTGCTGCTGCTGCTGCTGCTGCTGCTGCTGCGCGAGCGCATCCATCCAGCCGAGGAGACGGCAGTTTCGAGTTTCTCACTTCTCTCGCTTTCTCTCTCTCTCTCTCTCTCGCTCTCTCTCCTCTCGCACTCGCGCTCTCTCTTTTTTTCTCACTGTGTCTGTCTCTGCCTCTCGGTCGGTTTCATTTTCGCTCTCTCTTTCTTTCTCTCTCTCTCTCTCTCTCTCTCTCTCTATCTCTATCTCCCCCTCTCTCTGTGTCTTTCTCTGTCTGTCTCTGTCACTCGGTCGGTTTCTCTCTCTCTCTCTCTCTCACTCACTCTTTATTTGTTTCTCTGTATGTCTGTCTCTCTACTCTCCTGTCAGAACGAGCCTCCGTAATAACGAGGACGGGGGTTTATTATACGGGGGGAGGGCGGTGGAGGGAGGGTGGAGGCTTCGTTTCGATTCGTAGCGGACAGCGGTCAGCAGACGACTAACGGTTCCTCTCTAGAATTCGCCGCTATCTTCCTGCCGAACGCTTGCCACTCAATCCGATGTGTGAGCACGCTGTAAATGGCGGAGGCTGAGCGTTGGATGGCGTCGTCACGACAAAAGCCCGACCAGCCTGATCTGTCTCACGCGCTCAGCGGAGATGCGTATCAAAGCACTGCCGTTAATCTTGCTAAGTAGTGACGAGGAGAGAGAGAAAAAGGTGGGGTGAGAGAGAAAGAAAGGGAAGAGGAGAGAAAGAGAGAGGGAAAGAGAGAGCAAGTGAGAGAATTGGGAGTGATAGAAGAAGAGCGAGAAAGGAAGAGAGGGGAGAGAGAGAGAAAGGGTGAGACAGAAAGCGAGACAGAAATATATATAGAGAGAAATAAGAGAGAGAGAGAAAGAGGGAGAGAGAGAGAGCGCGAAAGAGCGAGCGAGAGAAAGAAAGAGAAAGGGGGAGATGGGTAGAGGGAGGGGGGCACTGAAAGTATAGTATGCGTGGCAGTCTAGCCGGTGGTTTATAGCGTCAATGAATGTTACACTTCGAGCCAAACATGTACACGTAGATGTATATATATATATATATATATATATAATATGTGTGTGTATATATATATATATATATATATAATAAGTACTTACTTTAACTAATAGTAGTAGTAGTAAGTTAATTACGTACGTACGTACGAACGTACTACTTACTACCTTTACCCAACGTACTATGCGTCG